CCCCCCCCCCCCCCCCCCCGCATCTTTTCTTTTTGCGCGCCGTCCATTGTTGTGGAATTCCGGCGCTGGGGAACAGCCTTTGACCTCTTGCGCTGGTGTTTTTCGGTTAGGCTTTAAGCTGACCCCGGGCCGCTTTCGTACACCTCTCAACCTCCAGCACCCTCCGCCTGCATTGCTTCCATCTCCACGCCCCCACGACTGCTGCCCGTCCTCAGTCGCCGAAGCCGCCCAACGCAATTGCTGCTGTCCTGCGCGCGACTGTTGCCAATTGCTGCTCGCCATCGCCTTCTGCTGTAGCCCGTGCCTCGGTGTCCGGGCGTCGTCTCTCCCTGCGCGGCCCTTGACCCCCCCCCTGGATCTGCCTGTCCTTCGTGCCGCCTCGCCGCCTCGCGCCTTCCGCGACCCTTCTCCTCACCGTCTGGTAGCAGCCGCATAGCATGGCCGACATGAACCAAGAGTCCATCCAACAGAAGATCCAGATCGCCCGCCGCGATGCTGAGGCCCTCAAGGACAGGATAAAGCGCAAGAAGGATGAGCTTGCTGACACCACACGTACGTCCTGCTTCCCTGCCCTCTGCAAAAACATCTTTCCCTCCTTCTTGTGATCGGGTTAGCTAACCGACCACGCGCAGTTCGTGATGTCGCGCGAGACCGTGTCGAGGCTCTACCGCGCCTGACCATGAAGACGAAGCGGACGCTCAAGGGCCATCTCGCCAAGATCTACGCCATGCACTGGTCGACTGACCGGAGGCATCTCGTCTCGGCCTCGCAGGACGGAAAACTCATCATCTGGGATGCGTACACAACGAACAAGGTCCATGCCATTCCTTTGCGATCCTCCTGGGTCATGACCTGCGCCTACTCGCCGTCTGGCAACTACGTGGCTTGCGGTGGTCTCGACAACATCTGCTCCATTTACAACTTGTCTGCCCGGGAAGGACCAACGCGTGTGGCACGGGAGCTCTCTGGCCACTCTGGATATCTCAGTTGCTGCCGATTCATCAGCGACAAGCGCATCCTCACTTCCTCTGGCGACATGACCTGCGTGCTTTGGGATCTGGAAACCGGCTCCAAGGTGCACGAGTTTGCCGACCATCTTGGCGATGTAATGAGCTTGAGCATCAACCCTCTCGACAACAACCAGTTCGTGTCTGGTGCTTGCGACGCCTTCGCCAAGCTGTGGGATATCCGTCAGCAAAAGTGTGTGCAGACCTTTGCTGCTCACGACTCAGACATCAACGCCATCCAATTCTTCCCCAACGGCAACGCTTTCGGTACTGGATCAGACGATGCTTCATGTCGCTTGTTCGATATCCGTGCCGATCGCGAGCTGGCATCGTATCAGGTGGGCAACCCATGCGAGTACAACTCAGTTTGCACATGTACTAATCCACTGTTAGATTCCCGAGCCCGTCTGCGGGATCACATCAGTCGCCTTCTCCGTCTCCGGAAGATTGCTGTTTGCAGGTTACGACGATTTCGAGTGCAAGGTAGGCTACGGGTGAAGATGTCCTCTTGGCCAGTGTTAACCATGTGTTTAGGTTTGGGATGTACTACGCGGCGAGCGCGTCGGCACACTGCAGGGACATGACAACCGAGTCAGCTGTCTCGGTGTAAGTAACGATGCACTCAGTCTCTGCACCGGTTCCTGGGACTCGATGGTAAGTGACACGCGTATGCAATATGACGCCACATATAGCTGACCCCGACTGTAGCTGCGTATCTGGGCATGATCAGTATACCACGAATGATAGCAATGCCATGCGACAATGTAAGAATGACCGCATGCGAGCTCCCCTTAATTTCTGGCCGGGCTAGACCAGCACCACTATCCCTCGAGTTTGTCTGCAATACCATACCCCCACCTACATGTTACATGCGCGGATTCGCCCTGAGCGCTGCTACCTCGTACCCACCATACCATAATCACCACTACTGGAAAACCTGGATGTTATTGCATCATTGATGGACGGGCGCTTGGGACCTTTTTTTTGTTCTGTCGAAATACCTTTTTCTTCCATACCACTGCTGTTTTTCCTTTCCTTTGGACAATTGCGAGCCGCTATTACTCGTCTTGTCTCGGGGGGGAGGGGGATCTTGGCTGGCTGTTCTGCGTACATGAGTAGCATCTATCTACCCAATCTTCATCCCAACGTCCGTCTGCTCATCTCGTATTGGTTTTTGCCCCCTCGTTCAAAGGCGACTGCTTCCTCTTGCGACTGTTTGTGGGAAGAGAGGAAGGAGGTAAAAGAAGGGGCTTTCTCTATGTTCTGCATTCATGGATGGGTGGTTTGGCGATGAGAGGAGGTGAGGGTTCCAAGGGGCTGGGCTGGATGGGACGGGAACGGGAGCCACGATCACTTTTGTACAATCTGTCTTGGGTTGAGCACGGTGATGCTGGATCATAGGGTAGCCATTGGTCAGTTCGCCGATACTTTTTTTTTGTTAATCATCAACTATGCCTCGCAGTCTTGTGATGGGTGGAGTGAATGCCTGTGGAACCATATGGCTTGTATGGTTCCTTGTAAAAGCCAAAGTAGGGAGAGCGTGCAGGTGGCTTCCCAATTCGAGATGGCCCTTCTTCTTATAGAAACAGCGTCTTCGGTACGCCTTCCATCCAGAAAGCCGGATCAGGCGAGCAGCTGAGCGAGCTGAGCGACGCTTTTGGCAGCATTACGCCTTGCCGAGCATGCCATGATCGTGAGAAGTGAGGGAAAGGGGAAGAGGCAGTCAACTCAGTCCTTCAATCCTTCAATCCTTGATCCTTCAACACGGGGAATTAAAAATAGTGGATGGAAACCAGGGCATCCCCAACGCTCGCGTATCTACTGTCTGTACTCTGAATGGACCATGGACTGTGCATTGTATTGTCATACTAGCTTCTTCATGCGCATCGTTTGGAGTAGTGACAAAGTGCCATGTAGCTATCAAGGACGTCGTCTAGGCTCTGGGCCACAAATGATACGGTATATAGGGAAGCTGTGTGCTCTCGGATGGCACTCCAAAACCAGCTGGATAGCCAGTTAGTATTCCAAGTTAGCCTGTAGTATGTACAATACGTGACAAAGTTGACACGAGGGGAAGGGGGGGACGTGGATAATGGACGTGCTTCCCTTGTCCTGTTTGGCAGCGCAACCAAAGTGCAAGAATTGACATGACAACAAGGCGAAACAAACAATCCCCCCCCCCCCCCACCCCGTCCCATATCCTTCTCACCTTGTTCAGGCAAGAGTCATTGCAGACATGCATTCCATCCTTTGACGATCCTGCGGCCTGTAGCCCTACCGATCAGATGGCCTCGTGACGTCTTTTCTCAGAGACCATTGCGCCCGTGCAAACAAAAAGTGGCATTCGGACATTGCGCCCTCAAAGGACCGATACGAAGGGCAGTGTAGCACAAGTAACTGTACTAGTAGGTACCGTGCCTAGTAGGTACGGTACGGTACCATTATGGCGGTGAGATTCGCCCTAGACGCAGGAGCCAGAGGGTGTGCCCAGACAGACTTTCAACGTCTATTTACGAAAGCGAGGACGAGGAGAGGGGGAAATGCAGTCATGCATGCAGATGGTGGGCGTCTAGGTGGAGTATTTTGTCTACCTGTCTAGCGTAGCTTTCTCGTGGCCTGGCTATAGTACAGGTGAACTGTGCGATGCTATTAGGGAGGACGACAACACTTGTTCGCCTGCAACTGGAGTGAATGCGACGAAGGGAGAAGGGAGAAGGGAGAACTGCATGGAGCAAGCATGGCCGAGGGCGATGGCAGGTTCGTAATGTAGGTACAGTAGGTACCGGTATTGGGTGCCCAAGCCAATGCTGCTGCTGCTGCTGTCTTTGTTCTAGAAAGGCTGTCGAAGCAGCTGGTTCTCTTGTGTTTTGCTTGATTGCTCAGAGGGGAGGGGTCTTGTCATGGGCGCCGAGACCAGGGAGATTGGATCGGCGCCAGTCCACCAGGACCGCCCACGTCGGTTGCGCGTGGAAATGTCCGTTGGGCGACAAAGAGGAGGAGCGACAGGAGTGAGGATGGAGAGTTACCTGCCTATCTACCCGACTGCGATGGCCTGCTCGTCACACCTCCTTTCTCCTGCTCGGCCAGCGCGCTTGGAAGGAAATGCGTAAAAGGCCGAGGCTGGGTCTGCTCTCATCGTGCACATTCACACTCACACATGCTCGCCCACCCATTGTGCACAGTGCTATCTTGGTGTGCAAGCAGTACCTACTTTGTGTATTTTTGTATTTCTGCTTGAAGCAGAACAAGGACTGCCTGGACGTGCACACAGCAAAAGCAACCCATCGGGCCTGATGGCTAGGTGTAAAGGTACTGTCCATCTCGAACAGACTGTGGTACCGGTACGGTACCGGCACAGGTTACAGATTGTACATAGTACGTGGCAGAGAGGCACGTGGCGCCCAGATTAGAAAGGACATGATGTGAGCACGAGAAGAAGGAGATCCATGGACAAGCCAAAAGACTCGGCATAGAACTCTCCCCATCAAGGCCGACCCAAGTATCAGCACGTTTCAGCAGGGGGCCTGTTCGGGGCCACGCGGGAGGAGAGCATATAGGGATGCACATCCAGAACGTGGCAACCGGGGCAGCGCGGGCGTGTTTCGTCGTCGAGAAAAGGCGGGTTTCAGGAGGCCGTGAGAGAGAGGCCGGTTCGCCAATCGAGTGTCAGCATCCTTCTTCTGCTCAGCCCTAGCACAGGCAGTTGGCGGCGATGCCTATCCTCTACTGTGCCATTGCCCTTCCGCTGCCGGATGCACTGGCCACTAGACATCAAACGGTAAACGTAGTACGTTGGGGGTAGGTAGGATAACTACCGGTATACTACCGTGCATGTATGTGCTATCCAGCCTGTACACATGGCCTGCAAACCGGGATGGGGACGAAGAAACGTGTCTAGCATGTCCTAGCCAAAAAAGAAGGAAACGGAAAAGGAAAAAGAAAAGGACTCGCTTTGCACACACCCAATCAACGTTCTGAAGCGGTTACCGTGCCTGGCAGGCTTCAGAAAAGAGAGAAGAGAGCGCACGGTGCGCGAGGAGTGCCAAGTTCCCCCCCCCCCCTTCCCCCTCGATTGTGTGGTGGGATTGTCCATTCCCAAGCCAGAACAGCATAGCACAGCACAGCACAGCACAGCACGCAACCCCCAACATCCCAGACGACCCCAAACTGACCGCCGGGATCTGCCCTTTTCCTCAGACACCAGACCAGCAACAACGCGCGTTAAAGCAGCCGAAAGCAAATCTTGCACGTCCCACCCGCCCATACACACACACACACACACACACACACACACACACCCCAGCTACCCAGGCCCAGCACAAACACGCCGCAGGTCTACCGTCTGCTTATAGACCCCATATATCCCGCCTGCACCCACCTCCCCTCCTTCCTCTTCCTTTCGTCATGACTACCACCAGCTCAGCCGCCCAAGACGAATTCAACGAACTCCTCCGCGACAAGCACATTGACAACCGCCACCCCGAAGACCGTCTAGACGACAGCGATCTCTCCTCGCCCGACAGTCCCGGCGCCGCCCACGACTACGACGAGACGGTCGACAGCGACGACCAAGTCGACATGCCCTCGACCATGCGTGCAAACTACTACATGCCCGCCCTGCGCTCCGAGGCCAACACGGGCCCCAAGGGCGTCATCGCCGACGCCCAGGCCTTTGAGCAGGCCAAGAAGCAGGCCCGCCGCTTCACCTGGAAGGCAAAGAACAGTGCGGCTGCTGGCCAGAACTTTGCCAATCTGCCTGCTGGTGGGGGGTGGCAGGATGAGAAGAGTAGTGACGAGGACAGTGACGAGGGCTTCATGCGTGTCTGGCGGGATCAGCGGCTCAGGGAGCTGCAGAGTGTGGGTGAGCGGATTCGCAGTCGGACGAATAGTCCTAGTCGAAGGATTTGGGGCAGTATGCCGGAGGTGGATCCTTTGGGCTATCTGGATGCTGTGGATAAGACGGCGCCGAATGTTGTTGTCGTTGTCTTCATCCGCCCACGGTTAACTGAATGCCCACCGGATGCTTTAAACAAGGAGAAAATGGCTCCTGTATGTTCACATCCCTGCCTTACCAACGTCGATCGCTAACATGATTCAGATTTATGCCAAAGCTAACCAAGCAGAGGCGTGCATGTACGATGTAGCAAAACGAAATGACACCGTTCGTTTCGTACTGATGTACGGAGACGATGCAGAGCAGGACGACGACCGCGTACTACCTGCCATACTTGCATACAAGGGCGGCGACAGAATTGCAACACTTCTGCCATTGCTGGAAGAGTTCCAAGACGAGGATGAGATCAGCGCCATCAGCCTGGAGACAATCATGAGACAGTAAGTCTAACTCGAACACAAATGCGAATCCGCACATCAGCTGACCAAGATTACCAGAAATCGCATCCTTTGATTTTGTGCCTCACTTGTTTACCGCCCGACATGCACATGTATTCCTTTTCATGTTTCTCTTTGCAACCCTCACCGCAATCCCTTGACCGATCAGAGCGTCGTTTTCGACCGGTTCGGCTGTACATCAATCGTCAAAGAGGGATCCACTACAAGCAATGACTCCTGCATCGGCCCTTTCTCGCCGACACTGAGACACCCACACGTCGGATCCTATTCGGCTGCGACACGTGCTCACGCAAACCGGGCCTTGCGTCATCTTGAACTGAGTTATGATAATTTCCTTGAGCGATGCATCAATGGCGTTTTTTTGTTCCTTTTTTCTTTTTATTTATTCTCCTTTGATTGTTCTTTAGACCGGCCGGACAATTTTCTTTTTGCGAGGAATTTCTGCGCTCGCCCCGGCAGATATTTTGGATCGTGGATGCTGGCATTGTTTTGCATAGGTCTGTTTTTTCTACCGGCAATAGGAGGGAGGTATCGTTGAATGATTGGATCGTTGGATCATTGGCATATGAATGGGAACTGCGAGAGATAAGACGTGAATCATGAATACCGCCGTCCTGAGTATACTTATCCATGTGGGTTTTTTTTCTACTCGCTCTATTTGAGTGAGCGTGGGAGGAATTTTTTAGTATTTTTATTATTTTATCCTCGAAGCAATTCCACATGACGGGACTCGTGAATTCGGCTGCTTTTGTCTTGCTTGCCATTGGCGTATGCATGTACGTACGTACATGTATATATAGCGTTGTTCCTTGCGGTTGGGTAGATTGGCGCGCGCTTGGTGGTCTGGGTTTGATACGTGCTGGAAGGTCGTCGGTTTGCTAGGTACTGTACTTAGAGTACCCGGTAACTGCAGATATGGGCCTTGGTTGTATGGTTGGGTTTGGATGTTTTGGGCGTGGAGGTTGAGCGGGATTGTATTTCGGATTGAACTTGAGGCTGGAGTTCATGGTTAAGTACAGGTATTACGGATGCAAATGGTTCGAGCGTCGCAGAATAAACGGGACATAAGAGGGCCTCCCTTACCTTTCCCAACTCGCAGCTATTTAAACACCACTACTACCTAACACTGAACTTGAGGCTGTGGTTCAGCATACGGTAAGCGTAATGCCGATGCAATGTTTCGAGGTTTTGCAGCCAAATTGATGTCGTTGGCATTGTTTTGGTGTTGATGGAGCGTATCTCTCGTTCATTCTGCGACGATACCGTACCGGTACCGTACCGGTACACCGCCCACTTTATTGCTAGACGTCTGGACAGACTCGAGATCACCTCGTCACCCCATTAGAACTTGGCACGTTCTGCATACTGCAAGCGACTTCACACCAGCTCACTGCCAGGCCAATCCTTTTGCAACAGTGAACGTCTGTTTGCAATTCAGCGCTATTGTGCATGGCGTGTGGTGGGAGTGGGGGCTATGCAGCATGCTGCGCCACAGAGGGGTGTACACTGTACCAGTAAGCGCCTATGAGACACATGGGTGTCGCAACGTCGTCACGAGGAATTGACCTGCTACCTAGAGAAAACTACTCAAATACGCTGGATTCTTCTTCTTAGTTCGGCATGTCGGACGAAGGATCATGGTGTAAGCGCGTCAAGGATGTATGGGTGTGCAGGGGAGATTGTTGTAAGAGGAGGGTTCGTCTGCCCAGTCTGCTATGAGATCTCAGGTGAGTCGTATTCTCCTCTGCGCCTCCTTCTTCTTTTGCTTCTCATCTCTTCGAAGACGGGTCAGTTGAATGTCTTTTTCTTTGCATGGCCTTGATGTCTGATAGTCTGCACATCACGCCCTCGAGCCCAATCACCGAGGAGCACCCATCCAGTCTCCCAAGGCAACAGCAGGACATAGTCGCGCTACATGAACTATGTGTATCGTGCCGAAGTTTTCTCCAGTCTTTGCATATTCCAAATCTCGAGAGCGATTTATCTGATAGCAGGCAACCCGAGAAATGGACACTTTTCTTCATGTGCACCGTTGCGCATGTGCTGAAATCTCACTACGACTGTCATCTTTGTAACCTGATATTCATGAGAATGAAGGAAAAGCCTCGAAAACGATATGTGGAAGTACATGCTGGTTCCAATGTGTATATAGAGCCTCATGTCGAACGTAGGTCGGGACGCTTGGTGGTGTCTTTTGCATTAGCAGAGAGTGTAGAAGCTAGAGGAAGTGCAAAGGCATGGATCGCCTCCTTAAGATTGAGGAATTACAATTGTAAGTTGGCACACTGATACTGAGGGCAGGAGAGCTTACAGGCCATCTTAGATTCAGATATTGAAAGAACCTTCCATCAGCATATCACAGCAAAGCAAGTACCGCGACATGCACGAGATAATCTTACGCGAGCTAGAGATTGGATTCGCATTTGCACCACTCAACATGAACGCTGTCAGTCATTCCAGCAAAACACCGTGGACAATCGTCAAAGACCATCGAGAATTCTCCAAGTCACAGAGACTTCTGCCCGACTTCGCTGCGACATGAGCGACCAACCCTACGATTATCTGGTACTGAGCCATAGGTGGGAAAAGCAGTCTACGGAGCAAGTCCAATTACTGGAGTCGAATCTCGCCGACTTTCAGCTTGATATTCCGTGGGACATGCTCTGTGCTTCATCCCAATACAAGGAGGCCATCCGCATTACATGTGCTCTAGGCTACCAATACCTATGGATCGACTCCTTGTGTATCATGCAAAAGTCTGATGCAGACTGGCAACACGAGGCTAGCCGGATGGCCATTGTTTATGGCAACGCGGTCTGCAACATTTCCCTAATCTTCCCCACGCAGCAAGAAATGGAAGACGCAGCGAGAAATGACCCGCGGGACTGGAACTCGTGTATATTGCGAGAAGCCACGCCCACAAATCCAGGCCTATATCTTGAGCACGTCGGAAACGTCATCGACCTCCCCTCTTGGCTACAGCAACACAAGTGGCCCCTTTTCGAGCGGGCTTGGACATTTCAAGAGTACCTCCTCAGCCCACGAACCCTACTCGTAGGGCATAGCAATCTCATGTTCCAATGCTCCGAACTCTTCTACGACGAGCTCCTTGGTCCCATGGGTGACGGCAACGGACTCATCATCGACGAAGAAAAGTCCTCCAAGGTTCACGACTTCGACTTCCAGAAATCCTTTTACTTCCCCGCCACACTCGGTATAGTCAAGGATTGCCCTTCCCTCACCCAAGTCCCCGTCCTCTTGTTCCTACAGGATTGGCTCAAAGTCTTCAACGAGTACCGTGCCCGCAAGCTCACCGTAACAACAGATAGAGTCATCGCCTTTGCGGGAGTCGCACGTGTATTTTCCTATCTAAGCCGTATGACCTATCTGGCCGGTGCATGGCAAGAATGTCTCGCACCCTGCCTCCTATGGCACCTCGACAAGAAATCCAACCACGTCGCCTTGAGAGACAACCATCTGCCCAACGGCAGCTATTATGACTACTCCGTCATCGTCCAAGAAGCCGCGCAAACATGCCACATACCATCATGGTCCTGGTTCTCGGCCCCCATCTACGCCTACCACAACCTGCACTTCCTCTTCCTCGACGTGCTCTCCCTCCGCCGAAAAAGCAACCTCAAACCCCCCATGGCCTGCGTCAACGACATATCCTGGGCCCAGCTACAACACTTCCAATTCGGCGCACACCCGCAAAACTCCTTTTTGCCCTCGCGCAACTACGCAGACTTTTGCGCCCTCGGCCTCACATTACGCATGCGCACTCTCCCCGTCTCCGCTCAACTCCCCATCCATCTCTGCTCCCAACTCGCACACATCAAACGCTTCCCCAAACACCCGGAAGACGCCACGCTCGACTGCGACCCCGTCTTTACATACTACCACGACGACATTGCCAAGCCGCGCCGCAATCCGCCGCGCAACGCCCTCTTTGCGCTCCTTGCGGAAATCCAAATCGTGCGGCTGGGCGGCAAGTACCATGTGCAGAGGATACTGGCGGGTTTGGTGTTGGTGCCTTCGGATAGGGAGGAAGGGGCTTGGAAGAGGGTAGGGGCCTGGAAGCTCAAGGTTAAGATATGGGGGTGGCTTGTTGATCGGGCGAATTTGCTCAGTGTGGCGGAGAGGTGGAAGGGGTATGAGATTGTGGGAAAGGCTTGGGGGAGCGAGGAAATTACGATTGTTTGATGGGCTAGCAAGGAGGTTCTAGGGGGGCGGATGTACGGAGGTAGGTATGTGATGTTGCGTTTGTTTGTATATAGTTGCATTGTATTCTAGTATTCTTTCCGACGGGTATCATGGGATGCATCTCCTCATCCCCTCTGTTCGGCACAACGATTTAGATTTTCCGGGGAAAGTTCGATTTCTCAAGTGGGAACATCAGTAGCAGTTCACACGAACGCGTGCATTAACTTTGGGAAAGGGTTGAATGCTCTCGTCAAGGTGGAGCCATGTCTCAGTGCGAGACACATGGTAGAGGCTAAGCCACAAGCTAGGTTATTACTCGTGTATTGCCTGCGATACTATAGCAGTGTTCGTAAGTCAATTCTTATTTCGGAATGCACTCACGAATTCGTCTCGCTGAATGTGAACGCTTGTTCTTGCTCTTGGTCTTGGTCTTGCTCGATGACGGTTCTTTTGTCCGACTGTGGATGTGAAAAAAAAAGCTTTACCGGTAGGCGAGGCTCTACAACGGCGCATCTTTCAACAACGATAATACCCTTCAATAGCTATAGAAGCCAATATTGAAGGTATCGAGAAGTCCGATTTCAAACCTAAAATACTAGGCGCATTGGTCCTTGCAGCAATGTGGAGTGTCATTTAGGCATTTTTATGGATCGATGTGGTTGATGCCCATGGCCATAGCTTCCTCGTTATCTTTAGCTGTTTAGAACATGTTGAGTGCTTGGTGCGAGTTTGGTAATGCATGTCTAGCAGGGTAAGTGGCTAGTATATGCGTGAACAAAGCGAATCAGCAGACTGTGACTTCATTGCATCTTGGTCCATTGATAACATGATCGATGGCGAGGTCGGCGATTCCACTGACACTGAGCGCGCCGAGATCATGGGCAATGTCGGACTTGATCCAAGATCGTCTGTTGGAATGTTTGGCTGTATAATACCTAACCTAAGGCAAGATTAGCGAGCGCTATGAACAGTTGTCAGAGTGGAATTTGTTGGATGTGGATCTCATGGCTGGTAAGATACCATAGATGATGATGCGATGGTGGTAGCCATTACATACCTCTCTCTTTTCCCATCCGTCTTGAGAGGCATTTGAATGAAGCACAAGTCAGCCGACTTGGATCGACACTCGTACCTGTTTACCAGCGTCGATCAGGGTTGCATGAGGTCTTAGGCTCAGGTACATTGTAACGGACACCCAATGAGCCAGGTCAGCGTGCAGATGTCATGACCAACGCTTCGTTGGAAAAACGTTCGAGGCGGCGGTAAGATGGACAGAACGAAGGCACCGTTGCGGCTAAGCGCGGGATGCTTCGGGCCGGAGTGTGGAGACTCTGGACTCCGACGGACGAACCATAAGAGTATGACAACATGGGCTGGCCTCCACCACAGCATCTTCCTTGCTAACTCTCTGTATAGAATGTGTGCACTATGCATGCCCTCCCAATTCCTTGGTGCGGGCCCCCGTCGTGTCTGCCAGCTGGGCCCCAAATACTTTACACTGTGCAGCTTCGTCACCGCTTCGATGCGGGCGAGTGATGCGAGAGACAATGGGAACCTTGGGCACCTGCTTGGCTTCGTGAACATGGTCTCGGAGGTAATCTGGACTGGAGAGTTTGTTATACGCAGCAGACCAGGATGAGAATAAGCTGATCAAAGATGTTCGAAATTCTTGCCGAGGAGCTTGCCTTCCAACGTCTGGTCTGGTACCATCCGATTACTTTTCTCTCCACACTCCCTTCACACCTGCGCTGGTGAACCTTCAATCTCACCTTCATCAATGTCGTCGCGTTCTCCCAGTCATTCTTTTTTTGCCCCAGTTTAAAACCTTCTTCCTTCCTTTCTGAAACCCACACTTGATTACATGTTGCAGCTTCAGCTTGCGCTCTCTGGTTTGTCACGCTAATCATGGTTGCCCTAGCCGTCCAATCGTGGGTGCTGTGTGCCATTGCAACGTCGTTGATCTTGTCCAGAATGTACGTGCAGCATCATCTTACACCGATAGGGACTGACGAATTCCAGTATTTCTCGCAGGTTAACGCTGCACTTATGGCATAAGTTGCAGGCCGATGACTGGCTCATGATCTTCGTCCTTGTTCCCTTCACCGCAGCCATCGTCCTCGCCAATTATACCTCAGGGACCGCGTCTGTCGAAGACCGGAAACTGAGATTTGTGCTGGAGGAGTTGCAGATCGTGACGACCTGGCTGGTCAAGGCGTGTCTTCTGATTCTGTACTGGAGGATATTGTACGTACAGCGTCTCCTCTCCGCGGTCCGACTAATCCAAGCGCAGCCCCGCGGATTTGGAGAAACGAACACGATTGACTCTGCAAGTACTGTCGACGCTCTGCTGCCTCTCCTTCATTATCGTTCAGGTCTCATTGCTTGCCTGGTGTCGCCCTGTGAAGGCATACTGGGGCATGACAGCTACTGATGGTATGTACAAGTCAAATTGCACATTTGCTTGTTAGTACTGACTCATTAGCACAATGTGCTGCCTATCATGGCCACACAATCATGACCCTGATATTCACCATCATCGACACGACTTTGGTCATGTTGTTGCCAATTCCTTTCATTCCGACTCCACGCCGACTCCTACTGGCGATGCTTCTCTTCCTCGGTACAATGGTCCTCGCTGCTGGTATCGCATCGAGAATATCTATCCTCGTCGAACCGGCTTCGCTGACCTATCTCCATTGGTACACATTCGAGACCTCTCTCAGCATTGTTGTCGCCAACCTGCCCTTCCTTACGTCATTGGTTGTCAGTGCCACACCAGCACGGATACGTAACTTGTCGCGCACCTTCAAGACATCGAGTAATACTTTTGATCGATGGCCGCGCAGTCGGAGGGAAAGTTGGGCAGCTTCCAACCCGCAACGGCTACGGATGGACAGACCGGACAGTACTACGACCATTCCAAGCGCGCTATCATCGCCCGTTTGTACCGAAAAGACATATACTTGGGACGAACCAGATGCTAGACATAGTGGAGGTAGCAAGAAGTAGAGCATCGCAGACAAAAGTAAACATCTGGCGCCAAAAACTCCACTGGCATGATGAAGATCACCAGGTGTTTGGCAGATATGAGATAGTTCGACTGATGACACCAGCGCATAGCATACTATCGGAGGTGAACCTAAATACCTGTGGTCTCGAGCAAATAAGCGGGGGTAGAGTTAGCGTTGCATGTATGCCTTTGAACTCATGAAGCGACGTTGCATATTTAGAATCTCAGTTTCCATGTGGCCATCATAACTCCCAAATCATTACCTGTTTGACATGAGGACGTGTTGGAGGGCGTGTCGAACATCAGCCCTTGGGGTGAGGTTTGTGTTTCACGTGCTAGCGCGTTCGTCCCCCGGTGCGATTCGCGAACATTCGACGTCACTTCTGTTGCCTGTCAGAGTCGCAGTTCCGCCGGTGTACGTCTACTCGACGTCAACCAGACGTCCATTGAGTTCCAACGCCATCTCACGACCTCCAGGCTGGCCGTATACTTCACAAGGAACTTGCGCATCTATTTCTACGACGCCCCAGTCCCAGCGCAATAACTTCGCCGGCAGGATGGATGTGCAACTATACGTGTACGACCTCTCCCGAGTACGTCGCTTGTCTATAACAGATCCGTGGACTCTTTGGTTTGGAAGGGCTGTAGAGTGTATGCTAACAAGTACAGGGTCTTGCACGTCAAATGTCACAGCAATTCTTAGGAACACACATAGATGCCGTATACCACACTTCGATCGTCCTTGACGGTATAGAATACTATTATGCGTCGGGTATACAGACATGTCGAGCAGGCACTACCCACCATGGAAAACCAATGGAGGTTGTCAAGCTTGGACGGACGGATCTTCCACTAGATGTGATCTTGGAATATTTAGAGTCTCTCAAGGAAATATACACACCCGAGGTATGGCTGTTGAATCTTCGAGGCAGAATGAAGCTGACCACATGCTCAGTCGTACGATCTCTTTGCGCACAACTGTAACAACTTCTCCAACGACTTCTCCATGTTTCTTGTTGGAAAGGGTATACCCGACCACATCACTTCGCTGCCCCAAACTGTCCTCAACACACCCTTTGGGCAGATGCTCAAGCCCCAGATTGAAGCTGCCATGCGGCCTATTACCCAAGCGCCTGCACCTCATCCAGTCGATCCGCGTCCAGCAGCTGCGAGCTCGGGTACACAGAATCGACCTGCGACCACCAATGGACATGCAAGCGCTCTGGAAATGAACACAGGCAGGGTCAACAACGTCGTATCTATACAGGAAGTAGACCGGCTTCTGGATCTGGCAAAAGATCGATGCGCCATCATATTTTTTACGAGCGCAAACTGTGCGCCCTGCAAAATCGTGTACCAACCGTATGATGATCTCGCAGCTGAGGCAGGCAGCAAGTGCGTCTTCATCAAGATTGATTTCACCCAAGCTGATCGCTCCATTAACGCCCGTTACCCGGATGTGCGGGCCACCCCAACTTTCATCACATATGTAAAGGGCAAGAAGTATGATGAATGGAGCGGAGCCAACCCTTCTTCGTTGCGAAGTAACGTCGAGATGCTGCTGAATACTTGTTTCCCACCGCATCCCCATCTCATAAGGAGCACGCCGATGCTGCTAGGACAAAACCAGCGATCCATTACCTTTACCAAAGTGCCACCGCTCTCCAAAGTCGTTGCCAAGATGGGCGAGGTAGGCAAAGACCCGGCCGTCTCCTCCATCGTATCCTTTATCGAAGCTCGCGAAAAATCTGGGGCTATCGAAGCTCCCCTTGGTAAGCTCCCCCAGTTCGCCGAGTTCCTCAGGAAAAGCACGTCTCTACTATCCCCCGAGCTGCTCTTCACAGCCTATGACCTCTTCCGAGTTGCCCTTACAGACATTCGAGTGGCCGGCTTCTTCGCAGAAGAGCACAAAGGCGCGACAGGGACCCCAGCAACAGTCCATCACCTACTGCAGCATGTCAATGCGCTTGGAGAAACTGCGCCCTACTATCTTCGCCTCACAAACTTGCACCTATCATGCAACCTCTTCACCTCGCCCCTCTTCATCCCACATATACTCTCGCACCCCCTCTCAGAAACACTCATCTCCATCCTCACCACCGCCCTTCTCGACGACAAACACCCCGCGCTCAAGACTTCCGCCCTCAGTCTAGCCATGAACATCGCCTCAGCCAACCACCGCATCCGCATGCGAAAGCACGGCGCCAATACTGATCCCGCTACACCCGAGGCCGCAGAGCTCCCCGTTCCAGAGCAAGTCGAACTGCTCGCCTCGCTGCTGGAGAATCTCAGTGCAGACGGACAGTGGAGCGATGACAAGAAGATGGGCCTGATTGCTACCGGCTGGCTGGTCTATGGAGCCGATGTCGAGGGCGAGCTGAGGGATACGTGGAAGGTTATGGATGCAGCGGGTACGGTGGATAAGCTACAGCCTCGTTCTGGGGAGGATAGGCTGTTGATTAAGGAGGTTAAGGGGTTGCTTGAGTGCTAAGGTGTTGGGATGGGGTAGGGGGACGTGTTTATTGAATATATGGTTGCCATGCATGGGCTGTTTATTAGCATAGTTGCATAGTAGCATAGACGGTGCGCAAAAGAGGCGAATCTCACGTTACGCGATTTCCACAACCAACTCTTGCACTCGCATTCGCACTCGAAACAAGGTGGAATCCATGGAAATCTCAGCTAGACGGACAACAGTATACAATGGGTCGTGAAGAAGAGTACCAACTATACCATCCCAATCTCCAAGCACCCAAGCCTATGTCATCGTCTGAGCGCCATGAACATCGCACCCAACGACGGCTTACACCTCCCATCACTTGATGTTTTGGCCAAGTATATGCTTTCAACCCCGAGATGCATGTATGAACACAATCTATTTGCGAATAATCACAAAGCACAAGGCGCACACACAGACAATGAAGACATCGCATTACCTTTCTTTTTATACACGTGAGATGATGGATGGGATTGAACTCCCACACCTACTGTCTTATATACATGTATGTTTCTGCGACATGCACCTCAATTCCCAGGGGCGGTTGTATTGCTATAATAAGATATAAAGGGTATGAGCATGATTACAGCTTCTGATTTGATCGTATCCTGGGTGTGTGTGTGTGTGTGTGTTTGATAATGAAAGGTGTAGGATAGGCTAATGTAAATGGGGAATCTACAGGTTAGGCGTTGAGGAAATCATGTTTGGTAGGAATAACATGTATGAATATGTTTGAATACAATTATACAAAAGGTATTCGTGTCATCTATCTACGGGAAAGTGACAATTACTGCTGAGCCGAGGTCGGACGCTCACAAAGTCCAGAGCCTGCTCCAAGGTGAAGGGGATGCTGGAGGGGCCAAGGGTGGTTGGTTGCGCCTCGTCGAGGTCTGCAACATGGGGGGGGGTTGAGTTCTTGTTCGTTGAGGATTTCTGGGGGGGGATTAGTCTGGGGTATGGGATGTGGGTCATTGGTACTGACATTTGCCCTGCTTATTATGGCGAGCTGGTCGATCCTGTTCACCTCGTCGTCGTCGTCGGACAAGTCGACAGCTGGGAAGCGACGGCGGCCACATTTGACAAGGCATACCCTGTCTCACTGAAACCTTTGCACGACGCATCGTATCCCCTTCTCCAAAGTCGCCTCCTCTACTCCTTTGTAGACCTCGCGAAGGTACGCGCCCACACAACTGTCATCCAATGCAGGTGGACATGCATTGCGCACCAGCCCAGTGAGTTCTGGGATGATGTTGTCCCTTGGCCAGCCAGGCAGAACGCTTCGGTCCTTGTTGAGTCTCGCTGCAATGCCATCTTCTGCTCGGACCTGACACATGACCCTCTGCATCCAGAGAGTCACCGTCTCTGCCGGGGCTGCGCGGCACGTTGCACTGTTGGCAACGAGGAACGACCGGACTGGCAGGTGCTGGTGAGAAGCCAGGGCAGAGTTGCGGACGAGCGCAACTAGTCCTGCTACTACCTGGTCGTCATTTTCAGCCTTAGACAGTTCAGGCACGGGTGTACTAGTCGACGGCGACTTCTGGCGAATAGGCAGCGCGGTGCTGCGATGTTGCGTCTTCAAACGCTTTGTGCTTTCCACTTCTTTATCGTTCAACTCGCTGTCCGACAGTGCCCGCTTGATAGCTCCATCCGACTCTTTAGAGGACTGTGTCGGCTCATCCAAGGATGCACCTCTTTCAGAAAGCGGCGACATTGTGTAATCTAGGTGGTGTCCCACGCGATTTGAAGTGAAGATGTGAGATCTTATGCAAAGTTACAGTGGCAGCTACGACTTTCCGCGACCATATACATACCTCTTGAGAGTGTGGTTTGTTGCTTGTGTGTTATATAGAACAGATTAAGATTTCTTCGGAGGGGTAGCGAGGTTTTATATAGTCGTAGAGAGCGAGGTGGATGGCAACGGGGCACTAGTGCGTTGACCGACAAACGACGAAGCAGGCGGACGCGGCCCATGCTGCAAGGTCCAAACGGCAGTGAAAGGGAAGGTTAATATGAGTATCTAGACCATAGCATATCCCATTAGTTGCCAAAGGTTTCATGTCCTGCCCAGTCTACCAGTCCTCCGATTGAAGTCCTGCAAGGCCGCCTTGAATCCTGGCCAGTTTTCAACCACCGCGGGTATCTTTTCTACTGTACGAATATAGTTCTCGGGTACATCGAACAGCTTCTTTCCTTTATGTGGTCCTTTTCGGAATTTCCACGTGTCTGATAAAGTCTCGGTACCCTTGCGCTTTGGTGCTACTGGGAGTAAAGGCCTTGTCTGCGACTGAGGTTGTCCCTGTGGTTGCTTTTTTGATGGCTGTTTCTTTGGGGGCGCTAAGCGTGCTTGGCCTGGCCTGTAGTAGTCGAATGCCTCTTTTAAACCAGGATGTCTGGACTCATATACATCCAGTTGGCCACCAATCGTGCGGAGATAGTTCTCAGGAGCCTCTTCAAACCGCAATCCAGAGTACTTTCCAAAGTCAAACACATAATCTCTTCCCAATGGCTCTTTGACATCGACATGTAAGTCATGGCTCATTGCGCTGCTCAGACTCGACAGACCAGAGGGCAATGACGGGGCGAGCGATAGATATGAAACCGAGTCTGGAGAAACCCCCTCTTGCACCCCATAGCGTACAGCCGTCAAAGTCGGGAGGGGAAACCCGCTCGCCCGAATGCTCTTGTAGATGGTCAAGGCGCGCGGTACAGTGAACATGACTTCTGCCCTAGGAAGTCTGACTCCTGCCGTTGAGACTCTGACCCTACTCCTCGAAGGCTGGCTGACGTCGACATTGATCATCATATCCTCTGCTTCGTACATGTCCGAATCCTCGACATCAATGTCGTCCGAGTCCACGTCGCTGTCGTCTGTATCTCCCTCGCCGTCTTCATAGTCTGAGTCTTGCAGCAGAATAGGATCCTTTGAACTGCCAGAGCCGTTGTGCATGTGAAAGGTGCTACCAATATTTGAGAATGAGACAAAGTCTTCTTCTTGAAATTTGTGATTCTCCCCAACTCTCTGGTTCCTTTGCGAGGCTCGGCCTGCCGTATGCGCACCTCCTCGACCGCGTCGAGCGTTGTGAATGGCTTTCTGGCGTGCTTTGTGCCGTATGGGCGGGGGAGCTGCGGGTTTGGGCTTGCGATTTGCCGCAGCGCTCGCGCGTCTTTTCTGACACGGGCGCGGCATCTCGCAAGGGAGGGCGTTGAAAGATTGTATATGGGTGAGTTAAGGGACCGCGGTCAGTTCTGAGTAGGGTTAGGTGATTTGTGGGTTGCGGAATGGGTTCGGGGGTGCGCACGGACGTCTCTCATTTGCATCATCGTCCATGGCTTGCGAGACTCACCTCCTCTCGCTCTCACCCTAGGTATCAAGACTCTCACTTACCCTGATGCCGAGACCTGGATAGATCCAACAGGTAATAGAACAATCTGCGATGCTGATGTTGCAGTAGCACCTCACTCTTTACGGTTAGGCTTGAAAGTCTCCCTGCTATAGGTACCTAGGCATCGGGCCAAGAACTATTCGCAATCGGTCAGTTGTAGTACCGTACCGTAGACCGTGGTGTTAGAGGGTGTCCTATGATCTGGCTCAAGACCCGATTGAATTAGCAGAGGGTTAAGACCGCCCTGTCTATATACACGAGGAAGTCTAAGAGCAAATCAAGAGCAGTGCATGATCCGCATCACCCACGTGTCCGTGAATAGAATCATAGAATAACAACCCTACCAGATCATGTGGCCATGCTGGTCATTTGCAAAAAATAATGTATCACTCATACTCCATCATCTTTCCACCCCTACGACCCCCCAAACCCCCTCTCCAACCCCCTTAACCATACACCCGCGGCGTACGCCCCCGGATCCGGAATCTTACTCCTATCCCCCTCATCCCCAATATACGTCGCCCGCCCAAACTTGGCCTTCATATCCTTGGTCTCATCCGCCTTCTTCTCCGCAACATCCACGCTCTTTGCAAAATCCTTCGTCTCCGCCAACGTCCTAATGAACGGAATCAGCACATCCATGACCGTTCTGTCGCCCTCGCGTGCAGCTGTGTAGTTTTGCAGGTTGTCAAGGGCAGCCTTGGCGGCGGTGGCAATGGAGCTGATGTCGAGGGGTGCATTGTTGGATAGTGTTTGGATGGAAAGGGCGTTTGTGAAGGCAGTGACGAGGATGGAGAGGATGGCGCCAAGAGAGCCGCCTACATCTTCCACATTCTCGCTGATGCTTTCGAGTAGGGCGAGGATGGGTGGCGGGTTTGATTCTACGGCCGAGATGTTGGCGAGAATGGATTTGCACACTCCGGCTACGGCTTCTCCGCAGTCGCCGTCGCCCATTTGGAGATCGTATTGTGTGATCATAGGTTCGGCTTGGAGACCAGCAGTGCATGCTTTTCGCATAGCGGGAATGAAGGATGCGGGTGTTGCGGGACCTTTGTGGAGGGCAGACTTGTCTCCTGCTGCAGCATTGGCTTTGTTGCGAAGTACTTCGGTCTCCTTGCTGACGGTGATGGGGCGGTATCCATTCTTGGGCCATGCCGGTGCGTTCGTAGGTGCATCGAGCAGTTCGATGACTTCTTCGTCCTTGAGATCCATGGCCTTTGCCATGCCAGACATGTTGCCTAGAGTGATGCTGAAGCCTTGGCCATTCAGTGATGTCTCAAGGATACCAGCATAGATGCGTGTTGGCACAATGTTCCAGTCGCGCTTAAGCACTTTGAGGGCCAAATTTGTCAGAGCATCGAATTCGAGGCCAGAGAGTCCACCAAAGTTGTTCACAAGCATGACAATGTTGTCAGAGGGGGAGAACGGTACGAATGCGCGGTCGGAGTCGTTCGGGTCGAGGAGGAATTTCAACATCTCCTTGACAATGTCCTCTGGACTAGGCATTGGTGATATCGTTCGCAGGCCCTGAGTCTGTCAGTGATTTCACAACCGGATATAAGGATATCACTGCTTACAGGCTCGTTGTGGATACCCATACCCAACACACACGAATCATCGGGAACGGCTTCAAAAGCTTCTCGTCCTGGTACGTGGCAATGGTCCAAACTCGTTCCGATCGTGACTAGCTGTGAATTGCCTAGTTCTCCAATCTTCCTACACCTCTCAAAAGCCCAGCCTTTCTGTGATGCAGCACCGATGAGCTTGATGACTGGATTTTTTTGTTAGTACGTGCTGCCCATGATTCCCAAACTCCACTCACCCAACAAATTACCAGCCAACCCTCTCCTCCCAACCTTGCCACTCTTTTGCCTTCCCAGTGCTGCATCCTCTCCCATACACACAACATCGACCTTGTAGCCCAGTGCCTGTCCCTTTTCCCTCGCGAGTCCAAAGTGCAGCATATCACCCGTGTAGTTTGTAATGCATAGAATCACACCCTCATTACTTGGTACATTCCTAATACCCGCCATGATTTGCTTGGTACTCGGCGATGCAAAGATGTCGCCACATACAGCTGCAGACAACATACCGTCACCCACAAAGCCAGACCAAGCGGGCTCGTGACCTGAGCCGCCTCCTGAGACGACAGTGACTTGGTTGGGTGGGTGAGAAAGGTTGTAGACTACGCGGTTTGGCTCATCGAGGGCCATGTGGGCGTTTCGTGTGCAGAGGGATTGTAGCATATTCACTACGATCCCTTCCGGGTTTGAGAAGAAGTGTTTCCGTGACATGATGGTGGTAAATATGAATCAGTCAGAAAGATCAAGCTGTTCCGTCGATCCACAGTTCAAATGGATCTCTGTGAGCAAGATTATGAACGTAGTATTGATCTATTTCAAGTCAGCCATGGTGCTAGAAACATGGAGGAAGCGCATTGCATTCATGATGCTGTCGCAAGGCGGATTGCATGATTGTACTCACCCTTGGTGTATCAACGGTATCCGGGGATGCACACACCCAACGAAGATAGCCCAAATAATTACAAGAGAAGCCGAGAACGCGTCGTACCATGAATTCAGGCGGATACCGTTCGCTTTAAAGCTCCGCGCGCAATCACCCCCGCAGGTCCTCCTGGACCATAATCCTGGACCACAAACCCCGCTCATGCTCCCCTCGTCCACTCATCAACCACATCGCATGGCCCAGCCACACAACTAGAGCTGTAAAATGGTAGGAAACTTGGCTTGTACCGGCTACTCGACAGGCCTATTGAGCTTGGAAATACTCCTCTTTGAGTCAAGTCGACCATTATTTTGGGAGATGCGATGTTTTGCGCCGGACTTGCCGCTTTTGGGTCTTCCGCCTGGGCTCTGGCTAAAGTGATGCGATGGTGCTCGCATCGGCGCCGGCTCCGAAGAGCTGCCCCGATGGTGTAGCCCGTGACGATACTGTTGAAATTCTGCAAAGAGGCTTATCTTTTCGCCGTGGATAGTACGTGTTACGGATCTTGATCTCCCGAATTTCACGTTGTGCGAGCTGCGTGGTTCCACTGCTGATTGAGAGGATTGTGCCATGTCAAGGCGACATGTAGTCAATCTATCACCATGACCAACCAAATTGGCCTGGCCATATATTACTTACCAAGAATTTGCAAATTGCTAAAACGAAGATACAGGGAAATTTCGACAAGGTGTGATATGTCATATTACTATATACGTGATGATGGTGTCGTGAAAGTACTTTCGTCAACAACTCGAGGGTATTTACCCTCGAGATACCATATCGTGAATCGTTCCCAATACTCTCGTATGTACAACCGCATTATCCGAAAAGGCTGAAGTGCCATGTTCGGCACTATAAAGATGCGCTACAAGGATGCGCCGCGAACTCCGCCCAATGCCGTAAGACTACTCCATAGTCTCCTAGGGCGTATATAACACACAAGCAAAGCATTAGTGACCAACAGAATAGTGTGAATGGCGTGGGTAGGGTTGTTGGTACATAGAGGGTGCATAGTCGGATTCCTGGTAGATGGTTCCGCGCTTATCTTCCTCGGAAAATTCTTTGACTTCCCAGTTGTGTTGCTTGATACCAACGGAGAATTCCAAGTCCTCGCGGGTGATTGAATCCCAGTACTTGTAGACCATCATGACTGCGAGGAGATTGCAGATGGTCGCGAAGAAGAGACCGTCGAGGTAGTGCTGAACCTGGTCGCAGATAGTGTCGCTGAAGACGTAGAGAATGACCTGGCCTATGACCAAGAAAAAGATGCCAAAGCTGATGTCACCCAGCGGCCAGCGGTCCTCGAGAGTTCCGACAACGAGAATGATCTGGCTGACAATGTAGACGAAGATCAAGATGGCGTTGACGATATATGTCAAGACAAAGATACCGATTGGGTTCTTGGGGTCCAGCCCAGCCCAGCCCTTGAATGTCAACAAATTGACAGCACCGCCAACCACGAACATTGCGAGGGAAGTCAGTCGTAGCAGCCAGACTGATAGTGTTGTGCCGTCTTCGTACAGCTGGAAGCCAACAAAGCCGTTGATGAACAGGCAGGTGCAGAGGGCGGAGACAAGGCCGTTCTGCGCGGCGGCGAAGTAGGGATATGCGCCGGAGCCAGGTGCAGCGACACCGGCGTCAAGGACGAGCGATATGATGGTCAAGAGCATGTAGATGTAGAAGAAGGACGTGATTTCTTTGCGTCCTGGTTGTAGTGTTAGCAGCGAGTCCAAAGCACAAAGCAGCAAGACTGCGCAAACATACCGACAGCAGTGAACTTGGAGCGCACATGGATAATCATGATCACCGTCATGACCAGAGCGAGAATATGCATAAAGTCGTTGGCCGCCTGGAATATGATGGTATTTGCGATTTCAATGGTCCTGGCATAGCAGTTTGGCTGGATGCCTGGGCCATCATTGATCGCCTGGTGTCCAACAAGCGCACATAGTGGTATCGACGCCTTTTCGCATATCGTCTGGAAATCGCCGAAGCCCATTTCGCCGAATACGTAGGTGAAGTGTAGTCCGGGGTTACTGCGGATATGATGATTGCCTCGTCGAGACGCACAGCAGAAAAGCGAGTCGTATAAAGTTCTAGCAGTGAACGATGAAGCACAGCGGGACAGCGAGTGAATGTACGCAGGTACGCGGGAACGAGGGAAGGTTCGGTGGGGTAAGACGTGGGTCTGCCGGGTCGCTATGGAGGCCGGTTGTTAGGGGTGAATGGTGTTTTACCTGGGGTAGCGCCAAGACGCGCTTGCTATGTCTATTTTGGTATCTATCAAACGCCACTGCAATTTCTGTGAGGCGCAGAACACCGTCGCCATCCAACGTCTCTGTATTGACAATTGACAGCACCAGTAGTACTCACCATGCCATATATGTATGAAAACAAGATACTGAGCCTACTAATAATTAGGTTCGATGACCAGAGCACGTCTCGCTTATATACTCTTAAAGATCAGGTCGCTTCGTAGTGGGCCTTACCTTCAAACCGACACACTGCTTGCGATCTTAGCATCAGCATCCTGCTTTCTAGAACTTGGTGAAGGCACCCGGTAACAGTTGTGCTGATACAACGAACTGCCAGAAAAAGGGGGTTTTCTTTTCTTATCAAAGTCAACATGGGCTGGCTCACGGTGTTTACTGTACACATGATATGGCATGCACCAATGCACGGTGCTGAGATGCACCATGAACGGCTCCTTACTCTAAATGATCAATGCTTATGCTAAAATAAAAGCAATCAAGCAAGTTGGTGTGTATATTCGGTTTGCTGCCAGGTGCATAAGATCTCCACGAGTGTTTGCGCACCTGGCCCCCAGCACTGACAATCTAAGGTGAATGTCCATGTGAGCATGACCAAACGCGCCCCGAATCTGCTATTACTGTAGCTCCAGCAAGTTTTCTTTTATTTACGAGTACCAGAGCCTTTCAAGATAGACTTCAGGTCAAATACTCAATTACATCGCACTCCAGCACTACACTCCCATCCTCTCACCACGCCCCCATCTTTTCTACAATTCCATGTCACAACCGCCAAACCGCAGATCGCACAAGCAACCAAAAGAACACTCAGATTCAGCATACTCTTTGCTCCCCGCACTAAGATTGAACAGCACACCCACCATGCCATCACCCAGAGCCAACGCACATGCAAATACACGCCCCTACACACCCCCAAACCCATACCTTCGCACATCTACTCAACCCACACCCACAACCCACACTACCCGCTCTCCAGCAACAACACCGACCCATGTCACATATCCCCCTCTTAACAACCGCCCCTCCACCCCTAAATCTCCACTACCACCAGCACACCTAACACCCACCTCCATCACCAAAGAAACACTCCAATCCCACATCACCAACCTCCTCCAAACCAACCTCCCCACCTTCGCCCCCTACGCAATCACCACACTCAGCAGTACGTTTGCCCTCTCCCCCTCCCCTTCCAACCCAACTAACCCACCCCCCCAAAACAGACCATCTAACAACCCTAATAATCACCCACGGTCAAAGCGGCACCCTCGGCCCCCTCGGCCTAGAAAAGCACTCAGACATCTTCATGGGCATTGCGCACGTGGGCGCAACCCACGGGCTGTGCATGTGTGTGCATGCGCCGGGGTCGGGCCCCATTCGCGTGCTGTTGGGTGGGGATATGTGTGAGCGGGAAGGGGGGGATCCGTTGGTTGATGAGCTTGTGATGGAAAGGTGTAGGAAGGGGTTTGAGGGGGCGGCGGGGCGGGTGTATGGGTGGTTGGTTGAGGAGGGGAGGAGGGGGGGTGGGGGGAACGGGGATGGGAAGGGGAGGGCTAGGAGTGGGAGGCGGTAAGGGGTGGATTGGGGTTGTGGGTTGTTTGGGATGGCGTTGGAGGGTTTAGAGGCTGGGTTGAAACGTTGAAACGTGCATGTCCTCTATCCATACCGTTTTTCCCTTGTTTTCACGTCATCGGAACAGGGAAGGGTTGTAGTCCTGTTATTGTGGCACCTGAGCATCGACGGGATGAAGACATTGAGTTGCAGGCTTGTACATTAGGAAGGGGAAACCCATATTGCAGTACCATTGGCCAGACTATAAGCCTCCTAATACAGCGACTCAAGCTACCTGTGACAGTACAAGATGAAGAAACGAGATAGAGGGACAAGACAGTTGCAAACGCAAGTGTTAAATCAGTGTATGCCTAACTTGATTTATTCTCTTCGACACTAACATGTTCTTCACGCCCTGAATCATCATTCTTGTGCAAAGATCATGAAATGGGCACATTGCTCATTCAGAACACGTTGTATGGGGCGTTTGACATTACATTTACCATTGACTTTATACCCCCTATCACCTCAGAGTAGCACCCGGATTTTTCACGTGTTTGAACATAAATAGTCATGGCGAGGGTGCTCTATAACAAGCTATTCCTTACCTCTATGCCCTCAGCGCCCTCCTCGACCCATGGGTCACTTAAGGGACCCAGAGAATGGCATTCGCATACACAGCCTCGAGTTCCAACCGCCAAAGCCGCTCTTTGAGCCTGATGATCTTGCTACCCTTACGAGTCTACCGTCGCGCGGCCAACCATTCATTCGTCTCGCTCCAGAGCTTCTTGTTGGCTGCGGAAACGACGTTGCCGCCATTCATCACGCCTTCGTAGACGGCATCCCATATCTGGAATGCTGTCCTGAGATCGCCGTGGAAGTCAATTGATTGCGGGAAGTAACGTGTCGATGCGGTCTCGACGACTCTGACCTTGGTGCTCTTAGAGGTGGGGTCGGCGTCGTTGCTGAGTAGTTCGTCGAGATAGGACTTGACTGCAATGCTGAGAGCGCAGTTGTTTGGTAGAAGGAAGGGTAATCTGTTCACGTTAGTATGATGATGGTGAGATGACGGAGAAGACGAACTTCATTGCGATGGATGCCAAGTCGACGTGTCGATTGCAACAGCCTGTCAGAAACATATGGGTCGATGCAACCTCCACTAAGTCACGCAATGTCTGGCGAACAACATCGATGATCGAGTTGTAACCGAGCAGGTGTTGGCTCAATGGTCCCGTGAAGCCAATTGGTCTATGGCGAAGGGTTCCAAGGCCTGCCACGCGAGATACCAGCATGTTTGCGTTTTGATCTTGGGCTACACAAACATCAGCTTTGTTTATAAAATTGTAGTGTATACACGTACTGGTACCGCGCATCGGCGCGCCATTGTAAGAGGGAAACATGTTGATGTCGGGTGTAAGAATGCCCAAGCGCAGCAGCTCTACAGCAAGCACAGCGGCCTCTTCCAGCTCCTTTTTCCCTTTGAGAGCGGCAACGACCTTGACGAGAACCTTACCCCAGTCTTTCAGGTTGTGATTAGAGTCTACATAGTCTCTGAGAGCCAGGAAGCGCCATATTGAGTTGTAGAGAATTTCATCGGTTGTGTTCAGAACATTGCCAGGATCCTTCTTTGATATCGTCTTTGAAGTGAAGTCGGTATTTTGCAATGCCAATATGGCGGAGCCCAAGTGTCCGTATTCCTGCCATCAGTCAGCTTTCATACGCATTGTGGTGCCATTACTTTTACCTTGTACTGCGAGACAGCCTCCTTAAAGGTAGCCTCTTTGACGTTCCAGCTCTCCACTATTGCTGGAGTCTGCGACTCTGATGATCGCTCTACTCTGATAGTAGTGGAGACTTGCTTCCCGCTTGCGTCCAAGAACCAACATCTCTGTTCGAGATCCTTATGCCGGTACCAGTTGTGCAGTGTGCTTGAAAGCAGATTGAAAGCAGTTGTCCGTAGTGGAATCAGCTTGGAGCTGACCAGGTTCTTGTACTCTAAAGATTCACCTCCGTCCATTGGAGGCACCTCAAAGACTTCGCAGGTAGTGCGCCACTGGAGAATGCGAGGGGCGATGAGGCCTTTTGACATGTAGTGGAAGAGCTCGTCGGGCAGACGCTGACCCAAGTACTGGACTGCGTCGTTGGGTAATTCATGGGAATTCTGAGGTTCGATCTTGCCGTCCTCTGTGTAGACGGGATGGTTCTTGACGGCCAAGCGTGCTTTCTGGTAGCGCGCAATGTAGCCAATCTCCTTGAAGCGTGGGTCATCCTGGTTGTTCACAACTACCGAATAGCCAGTCCTACCGCTGCTCATGATCATCTTGATGGCGCTGTGCGGCTTCAAGAGCTCGGTTCGATTGGGGGAGCTGAGGTTGGGGAGGGTAGGGAGAAAGGGTGTTCCGGCGAGTATGCATGCGTCGACGAAGATTTCATCCGTGATGCGTATGTTACCCGCGAATTTCTCCAAATCTGCCCTGCACTTCTCGCGCCTGGTATAGCGGAATTGTCGGTCCTCGAAGTCCCATGATGTGATGATCTTGTCGCAGTCGAAGAGGAGGATGTCGGATGTGCCCGAGATGGCGTGGACGTGTTGTGACTTTTCGAGGTATGCCAGCTATACAAGATTAGCTTGCGGTTGCTGGGCGTGGGGTGTGAGTTTGGAGTGTCTCTTCGTACCTGAGCCCAGGCACTGTATGGGGCCACTGTGAAGCGGATGTTGCGCTCGGTGAGTACAGCCTGCAATGCGCGAAAGAGGTCTTCTGGGGTAACGTAGGCTGTTGACTTGTAAGTGACATGGCTAACTAGTCCCCCAACCGCCCCCAGGCTTACTCGACTCTCCAAACTTGGCGACCGACGCCTCGGCCTGATGGCTGTCGTACAAGTTCCACGCATTGGCATTGACGGCAGCCTCATCCGTCTTCTGCCCAAAGGGGTTGTCTTGTTTCGTAATGTCCAGCCCGCTGAAGACAAACCATGGCTCAATGTCAAACTTGCGGAACGTGTCCAAATCCTCCTCGATGTGCTGGTTAAGGGCCAATGGCAGGCCTCCCAGCGCGGGCACGAGGGGCTCTTTGGCGCGACCATGGTTCAGGATGCGCTGGTTGAGGTAGTCGGCGGCCTCTACGCCTACGCGACAGCCACTGAGTTGCTCGAGGTCGCTCGTCTCGGCCAAGGTGGCCGTCCACTGCACAAAGTCACGAATCATGGTGAGCGTCGCTGGTTCGCTGTCTGGCCGCTAGAATGATACTCGGGTGAGAATAGTTGAATTAGCAAAGGGGAGGGGGGGGAGGGATAAAGATCCGAGTTGATTTGTTGTTTCTGTCTTTGGCATAAACGAGCGAGCTCCGCCAAATCAATGGCAAACTGAGCGCGCGCAACGTTTGGATGCGGGGAGACTAGGGGGGTTAGTAGAGTTGTGAAATTGATGCCGTGGGCGGAAGCTCCCACACGCCAAGCATGTGATCCCTGTTGGGAGCCTGGCCCCCGCCTTTACCTGATGGGGCCACTAGCCTCAGGTACGCTATCAACTGTCGCTATCAACTGTCGCTGTCATTCTGTCACTCTCAATTGTCATCCATCGGATAGTTGGCCGCATCCTTTATCTCAAGTGAAGTTGAGTCCCTTCAACTCTGTCAATCACAGCAGAGATACCTATGCAAGACAAAAAAATCCATACGTTTAGGATTTCTTGATTCTACCAACTTGATCGTCTTCGCATTTGATCAACCAACCCCTCAGGCCAACATCAGTCATATCTAAACATGACTGAATCCGAAGAAACCCAAGCTCCAATCCCAGTCATTGACATCTCCAATCCTTCCAAAGAAGTTGCACAACAGGTGCTTGATGCTGCCTCGACCCATGGCTTCCTCTACATCAAAAACGATGGCTCGACAATCGCAACAGAAGACATTGACGACATGTTCCATCTAGCAAGTAACCCCAACAAATTTACAAGCAAACCGCAGCTATCCATTCTAACCATCCACTAGTCCCGCGAGTTTTTCCAATCTCCCATCGAGCAAAAGCAAGAATTCGCAATTCACTCTGAAAAAGCAGGTGGCATAAACCGCGGCTGGGTCTCCATGCAGGGTGAATCGCTAGACCCAGATGGGCAAAAGGTATCTATCTACACATACATCACATCCCTCTCCCAACGTCCTGTCTTCTTCCAACAATTTCCTAAAAGAATTCCGTTATAATCAAATAAACGCATAAGAAATTAATCCAACCCAGGACCAAAAAGAAGCCTTCAACATCGCCCCACCCAACCCAACCCCCCAACCCCTCCCCTCCCCCCTCTCCAAAAACGCCCCCCTAATCTCCCGCTTCCAAAACACCTGCCAAACCCTCTGCACAACCCTCCTCGCCCTCCTCGCCCAAGCCCTAGAAATCCCCGACCAGGAATACTTCACCACACGCCACAACCAATCCCTCGGCCCATCAGGAACAATCTTCCGCCTCCTCTACTACCCCCCCTCCCTCCCATCCACCCAAAAATCCATCCGCGCAGGCGCCCACTCAGACTACGGCACCCTAACCCTCCTCTTCCGCCTCCCCGGCCAACCAGGCCTCGAACTCCTCACCCCCTCTCACACCTGGATCCCCGTGCCCGTGAACCCCTCCCCCTCCACCCTCCCCCACCCCCCGATCCTCGTCAACATTGGCGATTTACTCAGTTTCTGGACCCGCGGAATGCTCAAGAGTACGGTGCATCGGGTTGTGCTTGAGGAGCGGCGAGGCGGCGCGGGAGAGATATAGTATGGCGTATTTTTGCGTGA